AATGATGACAACGATGATGGAGACGATGGTGATGATGATATGGTGGTGATGGTGGTGGTGGCGCTATAATAACGGTCATGGTGGTGATTATGAAGACGATGATGGAGGTGATGGTGCTGGTGGACGCGCGCGCGTGCGCGGCGGCGACCACCGACCGCCAAGGGCGGGAGACACCCCCCCCTGCTATCGCCAGCCAAGCAAGTGTTCCTTCTAGCCGCAGTTATTTGTTTGTTTATGTATATATATATATACACATATATATACACACATATACATATATATATATATATATATATATATATATATTCAAATTACGGCCGGCCGAAGGGGGGGCCCACGGGGCCCGTCGGCGGCGCGCCGCCCCCTCTGCGCCGCGACTAACGCCGCCGATCCGCGGACGTCGCAGCGGGGACGAGGGGATGACTCTGACAGGAGGCCTGTAGCGAAGTGCCCAATGACGAGACCGGAGGCCGACCTAGGTCTGTGAGCGCGCGCCGATGACATCGACGAGAAGGCCCTCCATCGCTCGCCAGCGGCAACGGAAAACGTCGCATTCGACATATTGCGATTCAACATGGACATAAGAAGAAAGCAGAACACATCATACATATATATATATACATATATATACACATACATATATATATATATATAAGCACAGAGAAAGAGAGAGAGAGAGAGAGAGAAAGGCAAAACAAAAAACGCGACGCTCTCATGGGCCCCTGCCCCGCCAGCACCGGCCCCGCACAGAACGAGAAGAAGCAGGCGAACGCCGTGGCCGCCCGCGGCGAGATGCGCGACGAAGGGGGCGTCGACGGCAGCGGGTCGCGCGACTGGTTGATCGTGCCTGGCATCTCGGGCCCGCCGTTACCAGTGGGATATATTTCTATGCAGTGGGTTATTTTTGGGGCGCCGCGACAAGTGCCGCGGCAATGGGCGCGAACTGCGATGCTGGGGCGCGATTGGCCAGCGTCGCGCTTCCCGCGGCGGGGCCCCCCCGCAACCGCGGAGCGAACCGGCGCCATGGGTGGAGTCGTGGCCTGGTTGGCCCACATAGCTGCGAGAGGGGCGGCGCGCGCGCGGAGCGAGGGCGGCGCGGCGCGGTCGCGCGCCGACGCCGAGGTCTTGGCGCGCTGGAAAAGCGCGCGCGCCGGGGTGGAGCTCTGCGTCGCCTCGGGCGGCCGCGGCGGGCGGCGGCGGACTGTAACGAGGACCTCTGTTGTTCGCGTTTCTTTGGGGGGCGCGACCTGCGGGCAGTTTCAAGGCGCAGCTGCCGACGACGAGGGATTTTTAGGCCGCGCCAATCCGCGGGCCAAGTGGGCCCGGGAGGGCGTTGCCGCACTCGCGCACTGTTTCGTGGAAGCTTTGCGCGCGCGGGAAGTCGCGGGATCGCGCGTCGCGTCGCGACTGAAGCGCTTGGAATGGGGAGAAGAGCTCGGCAACATCCACGCCCCCATCTTCAGGGCCAGAGGATATATATATATATATATATATACATATATACATATATATAGGTGTGTATATATATATATACACACACGCGCATGATTAAACAAATACCGCCCCCCCTGGCCCCGGGTCCCACGCATCCCCGGAACATCTCGGGAACGCTACCAGCACCGCTCCCCCGGCCTTTCCGGGGAGCCTCCACAGCGTTCCAGGCGGGCCCAAGACGCCGCCCAGGAGCCCCCAGAATGCGAAAGGATGACCCAAGACGCTCCCAAGCAGCCCAAGTCAGCCTTCCGACGGCTCTCGAGGCTCCCAGGTGGCCTCCAAGAGACACCAAGAGAGGTCCGAGAGGCGTCCCGGGACGGTCCGAAGTGGCCAAAATGGTAGATGTTCAGTGTTTTTTTATTTTTTTGGCTTCTCGCACCACCCAAGAGACCTTCAGGATGGCCCCAAGACGGGCCAAGAAGGCTCCAAGACTGCCGAAGAGGCGCCCAGGACAGCCCCAGACACCCCAGAACAGGCCCAAGATGGGCCCAAGAGCGGGAGCAGGAGGCTTCCAGAGACCTCCGAGAGGCCTCCAGGACCCCCGAGAGGCCCCCAACATACCCCCGATCCCCAGGAGGCCCCAAGAATACCCCGACGAGGCTCCAAGAACAGCCCAAGAGAGCTGCGAGAGCCGTCCCGAGAGATCCCAAAGAGGGTCACATCGCAGATTTCCAATAGTTTTTCTAATGTTCTTCGCCTTCTCACGTTTTCCCGCTTCCAACCCTCGAGGATCGAGGATTTTGAAGAGAGAAAAAAAGGAATTCCAAGAAAACAGTTTTTTTCCAAGTGGACTCCTACTTGGAGATCCCACACATCGCCTGACATCTGGCCGGCACCGCGCCTCCCGGCTTCCCAGGGGGTCCCCAAGACGCCCAAGGACAGCCCAAGACGATCCAAAGGAGCCCCCAGAACGTAAAGAACGGCCCAACACGCCCCCGCGCAGCCCGAGACACCCTTCCGACGGCTCTCCAGGCCTCCAGGAGGCCTCCAGAAACCGCCGGGTGTCCGGCCCGCTAAACAAAACCTGCGAGGCACAAACAAAAAACAGCGCCGAACAGCGCCGAGGAATTGGAAAACAAATTGAAATCACACATTTCCTTATTCCCTGAAAGGGCTTCGGGCCCAGGGTTCTCTTTTAGGGGTTTGCCCCCCGATCTGACGGCTGTAGGGCCGGCAAATTTCTTTTGCGATAAATCACAAGGTCGCGCAGGGCCGGCGAATTAAATGTTGAGGATGTCTCGAGCGAAACGCTTATTTTTCAGAATTTGTTGAGGATGTCTCGAGCGAAGCGCTTGTTTTGTGTTATAGATTGTCCTCTCCCGAGGACTTGCATTCAGAGGATCTCTCAAGTGAAATGCTTGTTTTCACGTGCCCAGGTCTTGAGGATGTCTCGAGCGAGACGCTTGGTTTCACGCCTCCAGGTTGCCCAGACAGATGTCTAGCATGAGGATTTGTTGAGGATGTCTCGAACGAGAGGCTTGTTTTCACGTGTCCAGTTCGCCCAGGCGGATGTCTAGCATGAGGATGTGTCGAGGAAGTCTCGATCGAAACGCTTGTTTTCACGTGTCCGGGTCGCCCAGGCGGATGTCTAGCATGAGGATGTGCTGAGAACGTCTTGAGCGAAACGCGTGTTTTCACGTGTCCAGGTCGCCCAGGCACAGCACAGCTTTCGGCACGGTACATCAATATCGATACCCTTAACATTGCAACCTGGCATGTTGCCTGGCACGTTCCGCGGAGCGTCCCGTGGCGAGTCCACCTGGCACGTCGCGCGGTGCGCATCCATTGGCACGTTCCGCAGCGCGTCCCCTTGGCACGTCCTGCGGTGCCTGCCCATGGCACGTCCCCTGGCACGTCGCCTGGCGCGTCCCTTGGGACGTTCCGCGGCGCGTCCTCCTGGCATGTCACGTCTGTCGATTAGCTCTGGGGCAGCTACCATCTGCTCAGGCAACTCGAGCTTAAGATCCAGATCAGTTCGGCCAGGACTCGGTGGCAACGAGGACTCGATCCGCAACGCTATATCTATATATAGAGAGAGAGAGAGAGAGAGAGAGAGAGAGCACAATCGCGGCATGGCACATCGCAGTTCAGCACGGCCCAGCACAGCACAGCCTTCGGCACGGTACATCAAGATCGATACATTGAACATTGCACCTTGGCACGCTCCTTGGCGCGTTCCGTTGCGAGTCCACCTGGCACGTCGCGCGGCGCGTCACTTGGCACGTTCCGCGGCACGTCCATTGGCACGTTCCGTAGCGCGTCCCCTTGGCACGTCCTGCGGTGCCTGCCCATGGCACGTCCCCTGGCACGTCGCCTGGCGCGTCCCTTGGGACGTTCCGCGGCGCGTCCTCCTGGCATGGCACGTTTGTCGATTAGCTCTGGGGCAGCTACCATCTGCTCAGGCAACTCGAGCTTAAGATCCAGATCAGTTCGGCCAGGACTCGGTGGCAACGAGGACTCGATCCGTAACGCTATATATATATATATATGTATATATAAAGCACAATCGCGGCATGGCACATCGCAGTTCAGCACGGCGTAGCACAGCACAGCTTTCGGTACAGTACATCCAGATCGATACACTTAGCATTGCATTTGCCCGTCGCCCACTCAGGTGTCTTTGAAACGTTGCCATGCCTTACATTTCTATATTCCTTTCCGGGTTCGTGGGTCGATCATGTTTTTCCAAGTTTGGCCCCCGGTCTACTCTTGCACAACAGACCACAAGTCAGACCCCCCTCATTTCCCCCCCAAAAAAAACAGGAAGCCTTTGAGGGTCCCAAACCGTTGAATACCAAAAGGGAATGAATGATTTCTGCGTTTCCGCACTTCACCTTATATACGATTCCGAGGCTTGCGCAGGGCCTCCAAGGGAGTCCCTGGACGCAAGAAGCGACCAGCATGATATTACATGAGTTAGCCGATCAATCCTAGCTAGAACTTGAGCGCGCGCGAAGCGCGCGATGGTCTAGTACATATACGTATTATATATATATAATATATATTATATATATATATATATATATATATATATATAATAAAAAAAAAAAAAAAAAAAAAAAAAAAAAAAAAAAAAAAAACGCCGCCCCAGGCACGCACGCCCGACGAGCCCTTGGACGCAACGGAGGAGAAAGCTATTCGCGAGGCGGAGAGGGCTTCCACGTGCAAGGCGGAGTTGGAGGCGAGAAGACGCGCGAGGGCCATCCACTGCAAAAGAGCACTGCGCACGCGCGTTCGACAGGCGCATAGCACTGTCAGCAACACCTCGCTTCATAACCGGACAAATGGGTATATTGCATGTAAAACGTTGTTTGTTTCGGAGGTCGCGGCCCGTCGGCGCTTCGCCAGATCTATTTCGCGCGGCCGCGGCGAATGTGCAGCGGAATCCTGGCGTGAGCTCCGCTTGCATCTTGTTCGGCGCCGCCCATCTCCACGTGATATGCGCGCTCCTGCCACTGCCTGCACGAACCTATGCTATGGGCGACGACATAGGCACGCCGCAGTGGATGGGGGACGCGGGCATTGGAGAGTCGAAGCGGGACCTCCCTAAAGGCGCCGAGCGCGCCGCTGTCACAGCCCCGTCCGACGACGACCCGGGCAAGACGCGGAAGGCCGAGGACGTCGTCGCGGAGGCGACTGGCGCGGCAGGACGGGGGGCCTCCAAGGCTCTGGCGTCGCAGCAGCTCGCGGCCATTCTCGGCAAGCTGGCGCTCAGAATGGCGGGCGACTTTCGGGCAGTCATCAGCGTCGTCTTCGCGGCGGCTCTCGCGCCAGCATCGATCGCGCGCATCGAAGCGGCAACGCAGGCTGGCAAGGGCTACCACCAGGCGGCCATGAAGCTCAGGGGATACGACACAACGGACGCTGGCTCACTGCAGCGCCCTCACACGCGCGCGTGGAATGACTTCGCGCGGGCGCTGCTTGCAAGTGCCGCGGAATGCAGCAGGGTACGCGAGATCCCCGCCAGCTGCCAGAAGAAACAAGTCACGCAGTACGATCTGATGGACATGGCGACGGACGCAAAGCACATCTGCGTCCTGCGCCCAGCAGGGCAGAGAGCAGGTCAATAATTCCAAGCGCGTGGAGGGGATGGCGCGGCCCCGGCGGGCCCTCTCGACGGCGCGGCTGGCGACGGACCTCGACGAAGTTTTGCGAGCAGAGCTCGTGCGTCTGGGGGGCGAGATCACGATTGGAGCAGCGCCGCGCGGCGTCTTGGAGAGGGACGCCAGAGCGCTCTCGATTAATCTTAGAGGAGGCTCGGGGAAGGAGAAGTGAGGAGGATGCGGAATATGGCGGGCAGCGATCGTCTTGGGCAGTTAGTTGCTAAGGTCCTCGTCATCAGTGGAGCGGTTCTCGCCTCTTTTACCTCTTCCCTCCCCCAGGATGTTTTGGAGGCTTCCCAGGTTCGCTCCCTAAGGGGCGTGGGGAGGGAGGTAGGGTGAGACAAATCGACCCCCTGAGTTGGGGAGGGGGTAAGGTTTTCTTGGAGTTGCGCTCTGCCGTAGGGGGTGCTGCTGGGGGCCCTCTGAGTGAGGGCATCTGCTACAGGTGGCTTCCACCCGCTTTTGTGAGTCGAGTGTCTGCCACTCTTGCGCCCTGTGTTCACCCCTTTCGGGTTGCAGTGGAACACGTGTGATTCTCCCACCACTGCCAGCGTGACAATTCAGTGCTGCCACACAAGTATGCCGCCCAGCGAGTCAACAGTCGGATACCTCTGCTTGTCTTCGCCCAGGGACGTCTAAGTCGAAGTCTTGTCCTCCTTCTGGCCCAGACAGCAACGTGGGAGGAACACGACGATCACGACCACGGCCGAGACGACTACGGCCACGGCCAAGACGACCACCACGACGTCGACGATTACCACCACTACGACGGCGACGACGACGATGATGGCGGCGGCGGCCGTTGGCGAAGACGCCGGGAGCGCATGGCCACCGCGGCCCATTCTGGCGCACGAGAACGAGGGGGAGCGGAGGAACAGCTGGAGGACGAGATGGAAGAGGAGGGGGAGGACGAGAGGGAGGACGAGGATGACGACGACGCAGAAGGTGGAGGAAGAGCAGGAAGAGCAGGAAGAGCAGAAGGTGGAGGTCGAGGATAGGCCTAAGGGCGAGGATGACGAGGTTCAGGGCAGGACCACACAGAGGACCACGACGCAGACGACGACGGTGACGACGACGACGACGGTGACGACGACGACGACGGCGACGACGACGACGACGACGACGACGGCGACGACGACGACGACGACGACGACGACGACGACGACGGCGACGACGACGGCGACGACGACGACGACGGCGATGACGACGACCTCCGCCTGCAGTAATTGGCGGTCCCCGGAGGCCCAAGTGATTGCCGGGCGCCCGACAGCCCTGCCCCCCGACCCTTGAGCCCTGGCGCTCGGCCCTCGAGCCTCCCGCCGCCTGCCGAGGCGCTGCAGCAGCTACAGGACATGGAGGGGGGCGGCGCCGAGGAGCCTCTTCGGGCGAAGAGAACTATGCACATGCACCGATCCTGGCAAGGCCCATTTTTGACCCAGGATCGGTGCATATGCCTTCCTGGCCAAGGTAGGAGGGCGTATGCACCGATCCTGGGCTCAGGATGGGCCTGGCCAGAATCGGTGCATGTGCATAGTTCTTTTCCCTCTACCTCTGCGGGCTGCTTCGCTGGAACTCTGCTCTCGCGGCCGTGCATTCGTCTCGCGGTCGCGAGCTTGGCGCGTCGCCGACGGGCGGGCTCGGTGGCGCCGCTCGGGAGGGTCGTGGGCAACGTTCGGGGGGGGCGGGCTCAGGGAGGGACGCCTCGATCCCCAATCGCCCATTGATCGCCGACAGGGGTTTGATGGTCTGACAGCTCGCCCCGCCCATGGGCATGCGGATTCGCTATCGCGCGCCTATCGCAGCTCCGTCTGCGATGTATTCCCGAGTCCAGGTCGATGATTCAACCGCCTGAGCCGGCACCTCCTCCCCAACGTTCCTTGTCAAAGGGGGGCGGCGCCACGGTGGAGACCGAGGGCCCACCCCGCCGACGGGACCGCCTGCGTTGCGAGGGTCGTCGGCGGCCGTCAAAGTGGCCCATCGGCGGTCTTCGGCGACGACTCAGAATGAAAAGCCGGCCCAGGGAAGGTATCGAGACGTTCCTTGAGAGCTGGGCGTTGCAATTTGTTCAGACCTGGCGATTTTTCGCCCAGCACGAATCGATCCGGCTCGAAAAACGCCACAGAAAGATAGTGCCTATGGCATTGGACGTGATTTCTCACGATGTTGCAATTTGTTCGCAAAGTCGGATCTCAGGAAAGGTGTCGAGACCTCGCACGCTTTGCACCAAAAACAAACACGGCGTCGGAGGCCTGGGAAGGCAGAGGGGAAACAGAAAAAGTGGGTGAATCCAAGACTTCGGCGATATACATATCCTCTCCCTTGGCGACGGAGGAGCTAGGGCCACCACGAGGGTGCGAAATTAGTCGCGCTTCGCGCTTGGCGGTCTGGGCGATTTCAGAGCGAGGCGCGAGTCCCTCATCCTATTCGTGGGGGGGCGGCGCGAAAGCGCAAGGATAATCGTGCTTCGCGCTTCGCGGAGCTCGAATCGCGAAGATAGTTGCCCTAGGGAGGGGGGAGGGGGGTTCGGAGAAGATTAAGTGAGGCACGCGTGCACTTAACGAGAGGAGGAGGAGGAGGAGGAGGAGGAGGAGGAGGAGGAGGAGGAGGACGAGGACGAGGACGAGGAGGAGGAGGAGGAGGACGAGGACGAGGAGGAGGAGGAGGAGGAAGGAGGAAGGAGGGAGGAGGCAGCAGAGGGGAGAGCGAGGGAGCGGACTTTTGGCAAAGCGGCGCACATGCCGCGCTCCGCGTCCGCACCCGCGCGTGCGCCTTGCTCGCGCAGACGCGCGGGTGCGTTGTGGCACGCTCGCGGCCGCTCGGCCACTGCCAAAAGGAAAGAGCGCAGCCCACAGAGCGCACGAGCGGGCAGCGCTCTGTGCGGCCACTAGCCCCATCCTTGGAGCCTCCCTGGACGCAGCGCCAGGCCGCCCCGGCTGGGCCCCCCCCGCAGCTGCGCGATGCAGCCGCTGGGGTCACCCCGCCGGCCGCGCCTGCGAGTCGGATAACTGGTCGATGTCGGTCACCTTTAATTGCATAATGCCGCCAAGTATGATTTCTGTAGGTTGCTTGTACTCGGGTGCGTTGTAATCGGGTCGCTGTCTCGTCTCGGTGGGGGCATCCCCGTCGGGAGTGAACTCCACGTAGTGGACGCTGATCTCCCGCTTGGTGGCCTCGGTGTGGACGTTGGTAGTTCCGTCGATTCTTGTTGTGCAGGTCTCCGAAGTGGTAGTGGCTTCCTGTAGAACTTGTGCTCGGTATTCGATGAGGGCGTTGTCAATGATGGCGGGCCATTTGGGTAGGTCACTGATTGGCGCGCTCAACTTGAGGATCGTAACGTGAGACCTCCTCCTCCTCCCCCTCCTCCCCCTCCTCCTCGTCCTTCTCCTCCTCCTCCACCTCCTCCTCCTCCTTCATCATTATCACTCCTCCTTCCCCTCTTCCTCCCCTCCTGTTCTTCTTTCTCGCACACAGCCTCCACGTCCTTCTTTTCCAAATCCGGAGAGCATGAGATAAGCTGGAGGGCACAAGACACGCTACATCCTCGAGGAAAGCTGCCCGTCAGTGTTCTGCCGTCCTGGGAGCAGCACGGGCCCGGTCGGACCGGCCCGGGAGTCGGGTTGTTCCACGGTTGACTGTCGTATTGGGAAAAGATCGAGCGTTGCCAGAAGTGCCGCTGGCCCAAGGTGCCCCCAGGATCTCCAAAGAGGCCCCCATGGCCTCCAGAGAACCCCTCACGAGGCCTAGGGGGTCCCAGGAATTCCAAAATGGAGCGAAAAGCTGGGGCCACCTTGGGCCAGGGGCACCTTTAGCAACCCCCGAAAAGAGGAAGAGTGTCCGAGAGCTCCCCTTCAGGAGGACGCCGCGAAGGATGTCGCCGAGGAGGAAGACGACGAGGCCATTGGAGGCGCCTCGCTCCTTTCGCGTCCGGCGGCCCTCCCACCCGTTCGTCACGGCGGTACTTGTTTCTGCCCTGGCACCCCAATCTGGCCTGGCTCGGGAAAAATTCGGGCACAGAGATTGAGTCGACAGTTCTGGTCGCGAAGGGTGCCCAAACCCTGCGTTTTCCACGATGCTGGATCTCGGAGGAAGGATAGGGGGAGGAATGGCAAAAGGAGGGAGGAAGGAAAGGATGGAAGAAGGGAAGGAGAGAAGGGAGGGAGGGAGGGGGGAGGAAAGGGTGAGGATAGATAGGGAAGTAGGAGGGAGAGCGTGGCCGCGGTCGCTTGCACGCGGGAGCTTCGCTGGAGTTCGGAGGGGCATTGGCACATTGGGCTGCTCCGAGGGGGGGAGGGAGCGATGGAGGGAGGCGGCGCGCTGGGCTGCTCCAAGGTGCGGTGGGGGAGCGAGCCCAGCTGGATGCGCACGGTTCCTTACGCCAAGGGCTGTGCAGGGCGATTTCCTTGGTGACCCCGCCTCTGCTCCTACGTACCCCGCCTCTTCGTCCCTCCCCAGCCCTCCGCCCCCCGCCGCGCAGGCGACGACGACCAGGACGATCCAGAGGAGCTGCAGGCGCTGCTGCTGCGCATCGAGCAGACGGAGAGAGTGGTGCAGGAGCTGGAGTCGGGGGCCCAGGCCGCTACTCCTCCTTTTCCTGTTCCTCCTCCTCCTCCTCCTCCTCCTCCTCATCCCTATCCTCCGCCTCCTCCTCCCTATCCTCCGCCTCCTCCTCCCTATGCTCCGCCTCCTCCTCCTCCTCCTCCTCCTCCTCCTCCTCCTCCGATTACTGCCGCTTCTCATCTTAGTCCTCCTCCTTGCCATCCTCTTCCTCATATGCTTATGTTCCTCCTGATCCTCCTTCCTACTACTTCTTCATCCACCTCCCATGCCTCTTCAAGCCAACTTAACTACCGCCCTCTGACCTCCTCCTCCTCCTCCTCGCTCCGTAGCCATTTTGGCTCAAGGCAATGGACCATCCCGACGACCGCGAGTCCCTCGGGGCGTCCTTTGAGCGCGAGGGAGGTTCTGCTTTGAGGCCGATCTCCAAACCCGACTCTTCCCCGTCTCCATGGGCCCCGCGCGGGATGGGACGTTTGTGGGCGATGGTGGTGCTGCTGGCGCTGCTGGTCGTGCTCTCTCCTCGGGCGGTTCCTCCTCGTCCTCCCGCGAGAAGTCAAGGAGCGGGGAGCGACGCCGCCGCAGGCGCAGCGGGCGCTTGTCCCGCGACCGCGCCCGCGACAAGGAGGCAGACCGCGAGGAGGCCAAGAGGGCGGCGCTCGAGAAACTCAGGGCAGAGGAGGAGGCAGCCTTCCTGGAGGCGGAGGCAGCCTGCCCCACGCTCCCCTCGCAGCCTCCTGCGGCACCGCACGATCCGTGGGCGGCTGCAGCCGCAGGCCTTGGTGCTGCCCCCTCGGGGACTGGCGCACAGAGGGCAACTCCCCGCTCGCCTGTCGGAGGCATGGCCACACCTGTCGCGGGGGAGGACGTTGCTGGGCGGGACGACGCGCCGCCTGAGACCGCGGCTGCCAGCGCCCACCTGCGGGAGTCGCTCTTTGCCGAGGTGCGCTCCAGCCAGGAGCGCCTCCTGCAGAACATGGACAAGAGCTTGGGCGGCATCCAGCGCGCGCTGGAGCGCCGCACGGCGCTCCTGGAGAGTCGCCAGGGGAAGGTCGAGCGCATCCAGCAGCAGCAGGAGGATGACATCAGGAGGCTCGAGGACGAGATGCGGCGGCGCCAAAAGGAGACTGATAAGCTCATGGCGAAGCACTCTGCCGACATGGCGCAGCTGCAGCGGGAGCTCGGCGTTGTTGCTGCGGGTGTGCCCCCGCCGCCTGAGTCTGGGCCAGCCTGGAGCCGAGAGATCGACCGCGCGGTCATGGCCATCACCAGCAAGGCCCCGCTCATGCGCGCGGCGGTGGAGTTGGCCATGGCACCAGTGTTGGGAGAGGCACAACTTACTGAGGTCTCGAGGGTCGAGGGCGACGACTTGGGCCAGCGCTTCTTGGTCAGGATGGCAGGTGACCTGGGCCTGGCAGAGCGCAGGGTGCGCAAGCTGGTGGCCACGTTGCGCGGAGGAGGCCCTGGCGGCACCTGGCGCCAAGTGGCGGCCACGACTCCGACAGGCCACACTGCGCCGCTGCCCCTCAGCAAGGATAAGAACTCGCGCCAGGTGTCCTACGACATCACGCTCAAGAAGATGCGGCGCGCGCTCGAGGAGGGACTCTCGAAGCGCATCTTCGTCGACCCTGTCGGTCCTGACCAGATGGAAGGCGCACTCTCGCTGGCAAGGCAGCCCTTGGTCCAGATCGCGTTTGAGGGCCCTGGTTCACCACCGGTTGTCCAGTGGAACGCCGCCGTCCTCCGCCGCTACCAGCTTCCTCGTGAGCAACTGGAGCAGCTGGTGGCGCCTGTCCTGGCCCCGACGACGGCGGAGTGGTGCCTTTGACAAGGCTGCGGTTCGCTGGGGACGTCGGCGGCGAGATGAGGGCGCTGCTGAACACGGGGGAGAACCTTGTCGAGTCGACGGTGACGGTACCTTGGGAGCTGGTCGCGGGCATGGGCACGGTGATACTGCTGGACCGCGTGCTGCTGCGGCTGATTTCGTGCTCGCATCGGCCACGTGGAACGCTAGGGCGCTGTGCCACTTCAAGCCTGCTACGGCGAAGGCGAGGGCGAAGTACCTCGCCAAGTTTTGGAAGCGCGACTCGGTCATTCTGGGATTACAGGAGGTGCATGGTTCGCACGTCCGATTGACAGAGCTGCTCAAACATGTGGGTATCCGCGCCCGTGTATTTACTTCGTTCTGTGAGGGAGAACGGGAAGATACTGGTGGGCTGGCCACTCTTTTCCCGACGCGTAGGGCTGATGATGATGAGGGCGTGGTGTTGGATTCGTCAATACTGGTGCCTGGCAGAGTGATGCGCATTCTTGCCAAGTTTAGTGATGACATGGGGAGATCCTGCACGCTCATCCACTGGAACATTCATAACCACGGCTTGGATTGCGGTTCGCAACGGCGTGTCCAGGCGGCGATTGCAGCAGACCTCCTCGAGGTCAAGAGGGATCCCGTCACTGCAGCTGTACTTATTGTGGGCGACTTCAACTTTGGTGACAGGCTGGAGCATTGCCATTTTGGCGACGAAGGCCCCCCTCGAACTGTTGCTGCAGCTCGACACCCGCAAGAACAGCGGTAGCAGCGCTGTTTGAGTGATGCCGTGGAGATGGTCGCCCCGTGCGCGACCCACTGGCACGCTGGACGCCAGATCGAGACCAGGATCGATCGGGTCTTCCTGGGCGTTCCGTCCTGGCTGGTGACCCAGCGCTTCCAGCAGTGCGAGGTGCTGGGCGAGCCCGAGGAGCTGCACAGGAGGGACATCAGCGACCACGCGCCTGTCCTGATCTCCTGGATGTGGCGACCGCTGCGCCCTCGGGACCCGCTCAGGCCCGCCCCGATCCACCAGGACATCGTGAACTCCCCCATGTGCAAGGAGAAGCTGGCCCAGTATGTGGAGATGCTGGACCTGCCGTCGCGAGCACCACCTGACATGTACCAGGTGTACGTGAGGGCCATGCAGGCGGCCGCGGCGGAGACGCGCGAAGCGCAGCTGCAGGGCATGACATGGTCGAAGCGGTGCACGGCGATGATCTTCAGACAGGTGGCAAGAGTGGTGGCGCGCCAACACGTCTCGCTGGCGGAGAGGCTTCTCATTCGCCACACCTGGCTTGATGCGCTGCTGGCCGTCGACGTGACGAGGGGCACGGTGATGTTGAAGGACCACGCGGAGTTCCTCGGGCGCTTCGTCCTGGCACAGCGGCGCGAGGCCAGGGCCAGGCGCGACGAGCTCCAGGCGGAGCTTGAAGCTGACGAAGAACAGCTACGCCGTCGGCTTCTTGGACAGCGACGAGCCTTGGAACGACGTGCTGCTCTCTGGTCGGTTCTTCCTCGACGGCATCTTGCGGCGGTGGAAGCCCCCGATGGCAGACTTCTCACCTCGCCCGCGGAGACCCATGAGGCGTTGGCGAACCACTGGGGCGAGGTCTTCTGCCCCCCTGAGATAGCTGCGTGGCAGGCAGCGGAGAACGGCACCCTGGAGCGCCGTCGGCGCGAGCGTGACTCCAAGGCCTTCATCGCGAAGTACGGCATGAAGGAGGTGGACTGGAGCTCGCTGTCGCCTCCCACGCCCCTGAACATCGAGGAGGCCCTGCGGCGCGCTCGACCTGCAGCACCTGGGGTTGATGGCCTGCCCGCGCGGGCGTGGCTGATGCACTCGGCGGGCTGCGAGGTGCTCCTGGAGGCGCAGAGATGGATGGCTTTGGGCCGCCCCATGCGCAGGGAGTTCAACATGGGCATCTCCATCTTCCCGCCGAAGAAGGTACTGGATGGTGATGGCATGGAGGTAATCAGGAAGCCGAATGAGACGCGGCCACTCATGCTGCGCTCCACGGGCCCCAAGGCCATTGCCTCGGCAGTGAACTTCAAGCTGAGGAGCATGATTGACCGTGGTGCCTCGAAGGCGCAGCGCGGCTTCATCACGGGGCGGAACTTCTTGGAGAACCTGGTGGAGCTCGACGCCATGTCCCGCGTCGCCCCCATGTGCGCGATGGAGCAAGCCCGAGGCTGGGAGGAGCCGACCCTCCTGGGCTTCGACTTCGCGCGCGCCTTCCCGTCGCTCCTCCATGACTGGATGTGGTGGGTGATGGAGGCGTGGCGGGTGCCGCTCGGCCTGGAGCACCTGTTGAAGGAGTCCTACGCCAACGTCGAGGTCGTGGAGGCGGGGCCCTGCCACTGGGTCCTCTTTGTGATCCTCTGCGGGATCTTGCAGGGCGACCCGCTCTCGGGGACGATGTTTGTGATCGGCGCGCAGCCGTTCGTGGAGGCGCACGTGCAGCAGCTGGAGGCAAGGGCCCTTGGCCTGACTCGCTGGTGCGCCGGCGACATCCAGGCCCTGGCCTTCGGCAAGCGTGGGCTTCGCACGCTGGAGAGGATCTTCCGCCTCGCGGCGCGCTTCGCTGGGCTCCAGCTCCAGCCCAAGAAGTGCGCGGCCGTCCCGCCGCGGGCCCCATTCTCGGCGGAGGTGGAGGACGCGATGAGAAAGTGCCTGGGGGAGGCCTGCGGGTGGGGTTCCTTCGCCGTCGCCTCGTCCGTGGAGCTGTTGGGGTGCTTGATGGGTCCTGGCGCATCGCTCGTGGCCCAGTGGGCCGCGCCCCTTGCGCGCCTGCGCGAACGGGTGCTGGCGCTGGCGGCCTCCCCGCTGGACATGACGACCGCCTTCTTCGAGTGCGGCCGACGGTGCCAGCCCGTCCTGGCCTACAAGGCTCAGCTCTGGCCGATGCCGTCGGAGCTGATCGACGACGAGCGCTTCCTGCTGCGCCGGCTTGCGAGGTGCTCTGGAAGCTTGCTCAAGAAGAACACGTTCTACGACATGGAGGGGCTGGGGGGACCGCGCTGCGTGCCCACGGCGGACCTCCTGCTGGCCTTCCTCATGCGCTCGGCCCTCTCGACGCTGGGGACCTGGCGTCGGGCCGCGGCGCATCTGAGTGAGGTGGCCTGTCGCAGGCTGCCGCTGATGCGATGCATGAAGGGCCAGCCTTGGCCATCCTGGTGGGAGACGCCCGCCCCCGCGGTCACGCCGGCGCGTGCAGAGGCGGCGGGGCGCGCGCTGCTCGAAAAGAGCGGCGCCCCCCCTCTCCTTTCCTCTGATCGAGGCGGGGCGGGTCGGTGGGAGGACGGGGGGAGGCGTCGGCTGCAGCGAGAGCTTTTAGTGGGCCTGCGGGCCTCCAGGGATGGGGATCTTCGGGGCTTGTTCAGGAGAGGCTCCCCAAATGGTGCGGAGTGCCCCTCCTGGAGGCTGCGGCTGTAGTGCGGCACGATGTCGAGCAGGTCCTGATGCTTGCGCCCCCGAGCTGGAGGTGCGCATGCATCAAGACTTGGCTCGGAGGCTGGGTCACCGACACCCGTCTCCAGAATCGAGACCGTAGATGCTGCTTGGGATGTGATGCGCCAGATAGCCTTAAGCATTATTTTTGGTGTCCTCCCTTCCGTGAGCTGGCGCGGTTGGCCCTTGGTCGTCCGCTGCCCAGCGCTCCACTTATCGCCCTCGCCCTCGTCGTCCCCACGCTGGACTCGGCTCGAGGAGTTGCGTTGATGTTCCATTTGCACCGCCTTCTCCACCTTGAGAAGCGCGATGCCACCAGCGGGTCGGTTCCTGTCTCGGTCGCTCGATCAATCGCCAGGGCCGCGCGACAGGCTGTCGACCTCCCCGCTGGTGGCAATTCGGCCCGTCGGGCTCGTAGAGTGGCTAGGTAAGGAGATCAGACTTTCCTGAGGGCGCTCCGCCTCCTCCTCCTCGCTCTCAGTTACATCATCATCACCACCACCATCATCATCACCATCATCATCATCAGCAGCATCGTCATCATCGTCATCGTCATCGTCATCGTCAGCAGCAGCATCATCATCACCATCATCAGTTACACCATCATCATCAGCATCATCATCATCAGCATCAGCATTAGCATCAGCATCAGCATCAGCTTCATCATCATCCTTTCTCAGATATATCCGGCTTATCTTGGTCCAAGCTTACCTTTCTCTTGCCGTCGTCTGACGCTCCCCCCCCCTGCACCCTCCCCCACGCTATTATCGGTCCTCCCCTGCCTGCTCGTCCTCCTTCCCTCCCCCCTGCTACTCCTGCTGGGTGCGCCTCCTGTCCTGCCCACCTCCTCCGCCCCCTGCCTCCTCCTACAGCCTGCCCATCGGTCGTTGAAAGCAGGCACTTGGGGATTCCCAGGTGTCAGCCTTCCTCCGGCGCCCTCGTATTTCAAGAGTCGAACGGTGTTCCCTCTTCCTGCCTCCTCCAGGGCGGGCGGAAGCCCGATCTACTTTCACCGCCTTCCTGCTTCATCTTTCAACACACTTCTTCCGACCGATGAGTGGGCCCACCACCCGCCCCCCTGGCATCTCTCCGCGCGCGCCAGCCGGGCATCCCCCCCCCTCAGCCCCGCGGAGAGCGGAAAGCGGCTGCCCGCCCCCCTGGCGCCCCATCCGAAGGCCGAGCCCGCGGAGGACCTCCCCTCGACGCCGCGCCGCACCTCCAAGGCCGCCGCCAGAGGAACGTCGTCGTCGGCGCGTTGCCGGGGTCGTCGTCGTCGGGCGTCGTCGTCGTCGTCGGGCGTCGTCGTCGTCGTCGTCGTCGTCGCCGTCGTCGTCGTCGTCGTCGTCGTCGTCGTCGTCGTCGTCGGCGTTTGTCGTCGGGCGTTCGTCGTCGTCGTTATCGTCGCCACCGCGAGTGCGGCCAGGAGCTTCTGCTGAGCTTGTCGCGCCGCCGGCTCTGGCCCACCACGCCTCGGCGAGGCACTCCAAGCACGTCGCAGCTCCCACGGCATCAGCGCCCCGAGCCTCTCCCGGCCCCCCGCCCCGCAGAGCCGGCCGACACGCGCTCCGCTCGCGAGCCATCGAGCTTGCGCACATCGGCTCGTGACTGTGCATGTTGCGGCCACGGACGCTTCCAGTTTCAGGAGGAAAAGAAACACACAGACACAATTAATCCTCGATTTCCCAGAAAATATGGGAAAATATGGGAAGTGGGCGGGAAGACAGAAACCCAGAAAATATGGGAAAATATGGGGAATATTTTTATTTGTGTGTATTTATTTGTGTGTCCTGGGGCCCCTTCACAGTTGTCCCCGTCCCATGGGCAGCAGGCCGTCGAGGAGGCAGTGCCGAGGCGCAGAGCGCCGGCCGCCCAGCCGCCAGCAAAAGGCGCGGGCGCCCCCACCGCCAGTCAGGAGGGAAAGAAACACACAGACACAATGAATCGTCGACTCCCAGGAAAATATGCAAAAGTATGGGAAGTGGGGGGGAAGACAAAAACAAAAACAAAATATGGGAACATATGGGGAATCTTTTTATTTGTGTGTATTTATTTGTGTGTCCTGGGGCCCCTTCCGCCAGAGCCGCGCGCACAGACACCATCCCCGACGGCCCGCGGGTCGGGCGCGGGAGGCGCCAGGCGCCGCAGCTCGGGGCACCACGGAGCCCCGGCCCCCATCACTGGCGCACATCGAGAAGTCTTCCATAGCGACGCTGGAGGGGTAATTACTAGGAATTCCTCGTTGAAGATTAATAATTGCAATAGTCTATCCCCACCACGATGCGATTTAACAAGATTACCCAACCTTTCCAGGCAAGGTCATAAACCAGAGGAGACCCGTGCCAAGAAACACCCTGCTTGCCTCCAGGGTGCCCTGGGTTTCTCGGGTTTCGATGGTCTTGCGATGGAAAGCGTGACGTGCCCACACCAAAAAACCATGAACGTCCTGGGGTCTCAGGGTTGGGTTTCTTGTGGATGGTTTCTTGTGGACTGACCTCCACTGTAGGACGCATCGACTTCCAATCGCCCGTTCATCGCCGATGGGGGCCGAGTTGTCCCACCCCGCCCAGCAGCGTGCGGGTTCGCCATCGGGGTCTTATCGCCGATACATGGGTGATGTATTGCCACTTCCAAGTCGATGTTTCCCTCATGAGCCGGTCACCTTATAACCTTGGCCCTAATGATCAGTCCGTGGCGTTTACTGAACTGAGCTATAGCCAAGTCGTTGAGAGAAGGACTGCTTCGGGCTCTTGATGGGTTCTGGATTTCGGGTCGTTCCATCGATCGCATGGCTTCGAAGACGATAGCCCGATTGCTTGCGCAACGTATAGGAAAAAGGCAAGAGGCAAATCTCTGGAGAGGACGAAGAGGGGATAACATTTTCGCCCCCGGTACGCGGGCGGGAAAGGTTGTCTCCGAACGCCGCCACACACGCCCGCGCCTACCCACAGCGTGTCGAGAATGTCCACACCCATGCCGCCCGCCATTTTGTAGCGCAGCCGTGTCACATGTGGACCACAATGGGTATTCATGTCACCGTGCCGTTATCGCGGTCTGTACAGCCCACCACCACGTGTGTTAATCAGCCACTCAGTGCCGAAGAAAACGTGACACATCCCACTGCGTGTTGAGACCGCACGGCGACCATAACGGATGTTACCCAACCGTACAGACATTCGATGATTTCTCTTGTGCAGTACGCCAGCTCGAATCATCACCGGAGATTGTGAGGACGTGTCGAGCGAAACGGAGCCGGAACCATGCCAAAGAAGGAGAAAAAAACTTACAAGTTCTGAGGACGTCTCAAGCGAAATTGGGCCGAAACCAAGCCAAAGCAGAGCCAAACCAGGCAATACGTGAGGACGTCTTAAGCGAAATTGGCCCAAAACAGTGCCAAACCAAAGGAACACCTAACAAATGTTGAGGACGTCACAGGCGAGACCCGGCCAAAAACCAGGGCCAAACCATATAAGATTCGAGGACGTCTCAAGAGACGTTGGGCCCGAACCAGGCCAAACCAAGGGCCAAGCCAAGCAAATTCTGAGGATGTCTCAGGCGGGGTGCGCGGCCAAACCAAGCCAAACCAAAGGCCTCAACCAGGCAGATAATGAGGACGTCCCGGGCAGAATCGCCCAAACCAGGCTCCATCCATTGTTATATATATATATATATGTGTATATATATATATATATATATATATATATATATCTCTCTCTGGGGGGCAGGCCCAGGGCCCACAAACAGCTGCCCCGACCCCCCATGGGGGGACGGGGCGGCCGGGGAGGTCCAAAATAGTCCAGGAGGGCCTCCAGAGGCTCCCCAGACGGCCCAAGCGGGCCCCGAGTCGCCGAAGACCGCTCCTGGACGCGTAAAATAAGCCCAAGACGGCCCGAGAAACCCCCCCAAGGCACTCCACGACGCTTCAAGACGCTTCTCCCGAGCGCTTCAAGAGACCAAAATCGTAAATTTTACGCGGTTTGGGAGAGATTTCGGCCTTCCAGCCTTTTCGGCTGTCCGACGTTCCAGGCCGGCGCCATAGGCCCCCAAGAGCGCACCAAGACGGCCCAAAAGGGCCCCCGGACGGCCCCAGAGGCGCCCCAGAGAACTCCAAGACGGCCCCAAGATGCGCCCTAGAGGGGGACCACGACTCCAAAATTCGACCCTCCCGCTTGAAGAGTGCCCCAGGAGGCCCCAAGGAGCCCCACAGAGGCCCCAGGAGGCCCCCGAGAGGCACCCAGGAGACCCAAACAAGGCCTCAAGAGGCCACAAAACAGCCCCGAGGAAGTCCCACAACGGTCTCAACATGGCTACCGAAAAGCTGCGAAACTGCCTTCACGACGTCCCCGACAGGCCAACCACGAGATCCAAACCAACACTCATGAGCAATCTGACCCACCACCGAGGGCACCCGCCGCCCGCCCGCCGTCCGCGTAGCACGCACCACTCTGTACTCAACAGCTTCAGTCTCCAAGACAACACCCTGTAGTCAACAGCCCCCGTCTTCAAGGCAACACCCTGTACTCAAGAAGCTCCCGCTGCAAGAGAGCACCCTTAAGGAATTCATTCGAATCCCAACCCGCCCGCCCGCCCGCCCGCCACCCGCCCGCCCGCCGCCCGCCTGGCCGTTCGCCCGCCTTCCGCGTAGCACGCGCCACCCTGCACTCAACAGCCTCCGCCTCCGAGACAACACCTAGCATTCAACAGCCCCCAGTACTCCCGGGACTGCCCGGGCCCGCTCCCAAACACGCCACGACACGCCAAGAAGGCCCTAAAGATTGCCAAGACAGCTCCAAGAGGCCCGGGAAACACCGAAGATGGCCTCAGGACGGCCGACGACGCCGCCAAAACGTCCCAAGAGCGCCTCCAGAGGCCCCTCCAAAGGGCTTCGCATTTTTGCGCTCTCGCATGTTCCGCCTCCCCACGGTCCCGGACGGCGTCAGAGGCCCTTCAGATCGCTCCAAGACGGCCGAAGAGGCTCCCAAGGAAAGACCAGAGACGGCCCAGGAGGCTCCCCAGATAATTCAAGAGGGCCTCGAGAGCGCCCCAAGAGAGCCCCAAGAGCGACCCAAGAGGGCCCGAAGAGAGCGACATTTCAAGGTCTCCGGCCTGAGAGGCTCCTAGGACGCCCCCGGAGGCCATCAGGAGGCTCCCAAGAAGCCCCGTGAGGCTCCCAAGAGGCCCCCCGGAAGCCCCAATAAGCCCCCAAGGGCCCCCTAGGGAAGCCCCCTGCGGGCCCCCAGTAGACCTAGGTAAATCGTATTTCCCAGAACTTTCGGGGAACATGATTCCTTGGGCTTCCGCCCACCGCCCCAACCATGTTTCCAGTAGGCTTGCCGACAAGGCCAAAAAGGGCTCTCCGTAAGCCCCCAGAGCCCCCCCTCTTAAGAGAGCCGAACAAATCATGCTCCCGGAAAGCTTCCCAGGAACATGATTCTCGGGTTGCCGCCCTCTCCCCAAACCATGTTTATAAACGCCTGCCAGGATAAAAAAACGAGAGTCCCAAGCAGCGCTACCTGGCGCAGGAAGCAGCAAGCCTAATCCGCAGAGCCTGGTTGCCCCACAAGGGGGCCAGCGCTTTTGCATATGCTCCCATGATGCACGGTTGCTCTGTCGATGAGGCGTTGCTGTGCGCGCAGCACATTGTGAGGTCGCCCCGAGTATGGCATCAATGTCTGACGCAAACGTCAGCGTGGATGGACGGCCCGTGGGTCAAGTTCCCCGTTGCCCGCGGTTTGCCTCCCATGTCCAGTGCAGATTGCAGGCCAGGCTCTCTAGCAGCGCTACCTGCCGCCACGCTCGGAAACGCGTCAGGCCCCGAAGCCTCCGGAGGCGCCCAACGACACCCAAACAAATCATGTTCCCAGGAAGTCTTACGGCCAGTGCCGCCGACGTTGAAGGAGGACGGTCCAGGACACCCAGAAATCTTCCAAACAGGCTTCGAAGAGGGCGTCGAGACAGCCCAGGGCCGCCCCCAGACGGCCCAAGAAAGCCCCAACACAGACGAAAAGGGCCGCAACAGGCCCCCAAGAGGCCCCCAAACGAAGACATATCGTTCGAGCACGCCCAAGATGGCCTCCGGACGACCCACAAGGCTTCCAACACGGCCCAAATGGACGCCAAAATCATTGCTTGTCCTCAGGTTTTTGATGCATTTCAGACACCCAATGTCGCCCCAACAGGCCCCCACGAAGGCGCCGAGACGGCCCAGGGACGCCCTGCCGCGGGCACGAGGCGGGGCACGGGACGGGGCCCTTGCACCGGGGGGCCAGGGGGCCTTGCCGTGGCGCTGGGGGCCTTGTAAAGTCGTCCGAAGACGGCCCTGGCGTTTCCAGACAACGAAAACGACCAATGACCGCCTGAGATCACCCCAGAATTGGTCCCTGACTGCCCGAGAGGCCTCCAAGACGCCCCAAGAGGTCTCCAAGATGGCTCCCAAGGAGCCCCAGGAAGCACAACTAATTTGTTTTCCTTTTTGATCGATTTTCGAGTTCTCGCCTTTTGAGTTTCCTGACGCTCCACGACGGCCCAAGAGGCTTTAATTTCCGCTCCAAGGCATCCCCAGAGGCCTCGAAGACGGCCACAAGACAGCCACGGGGGTCCCCAGACGGCGCCAGAGGCGCCCAAGGCGGCCCGAGAGGGCCCCAGGACGGCCCCGAGATGGAGCCCAGAGGGTTGACACGAACCGAAAATCCGAGTCTTCCACCCCGAGAGGCTCTCAGGAGGCCCCGAGAAGCCCCTAACAGACTCCAAGAGGCCCCAAGAAGCCCCCCAGGGGGCCGAAGAGTATCCAAGGGGCCTCCCACGAAAGCCCCAAGAGGCAAGCATCCATGTCATGCCATAGGTTTTTGATTGATGTTCTATTTTTCAGCCTTTTGGCGTCCTGACACTAAAAGACGGCCCAAAAGGCCTCCAAGACCAATCCAAGGTAGCCCAAGAGGCCTCCAATAGGGCCCAAGACAGCCCGAGAGGGCACCAATACGGCCCCAAGGGGGGCCCAAGAGGGGTAAGACGAACCGAAAATCTGAGCCTTCCACCCCGAGAGGCTCTCAGGAAGCCCCAGAGGCCCCCAAATGGGACCCAAGAGGCCCTCAAGAAGCTCCCCAGAAGGCCGAAGAGGTTCCAAGAAGCATTGTTTTCCCATCGGATTTTGATGGATTCTAGAGTTCCCAGCCTTTTGGCATCCCGACGCTCCAAGACGGCCCAAGTGGCCCCAACGGCCGCTCCAAGATAGCCGAAGAGGCCTCCAAGAGGGCCCCAAGACGGCCCACGAGGGCCCCAAGACGGTGCCCGAGGCGCCCAAGACGGCCCGAGAGGGCCCCAAGAGGGCCCCAAGAGAGCCCCAAGAAGGGGAACGCGAACCCAACAGCAGAGCTTTCCGCCCTAAGAGGCCCACAGGAGGCCCCAAGAGTCCCCAACTGGCCCGACGAGGCCCCCCAATGCCCCCCACCAGGCCCCAAAAGGCTCACAGGAGACGTACACGGGGCCCCAAGATAGCTGAACAGTGCTCTCGATGCATCAAGATTGCTTCAAGGAGGCCCCAGGGGGCTTCCGGATTGCCCCAATGTGGCCTCCAGCCAGGCTTCCACGCAGCCAAAACAGCCAATTGATTGCTTCAGACTGCAGAACATCACTTTCCGACTGCCCGGAGAACCCTGACGATGCCCCCAAGGGACCCCAAGATGCCCCCCCGAGAAGCACCCAAGAAGTGCCTCCAACAGCCAATTGAGGACGCACGGAGAACCTCCCAGAAGCCCTTCAGATGCCCCCACGAAGACCCAAGAGGTTCCCAAGAGGCCCTCAGGAGGCACGACTATGTCACGCGCCTGTGCTTGATAGCGCTGTCCAAGATCTTCTAGCGCGCCCCCAGCCTGGGCTAGAACCTGAGCGCGCGCGAAGCGCGCGCGATGGTTCTAGTATATATATATATATATATATATATATATATATATATAGACGGCTCCAAGACAGCCCAAGAGGCCTCCAAGACGGCCCAAGAGGCCTCGAAGAAGCGCCCCAAGAAGGGTCCAAGAGGCCAGAACCTTTGATTGTCCGTAGGGAAACGTACATTTTTGCATACATGATTTCCGGCCTTCACGGCGTTGAAGACGGTCCAAAAGGCCCCCGAAACCGCCCAGAGAAGGCCCAAGAAGCTCCCAAGAGGCGCCCAAGATGGCCCAAGAGGGCGCCAAGACGTCCCAGGCGGCTCCCACGACAGCCCAAGAGGGCCCCAAGTCCGCCCCAAGAGCAGCCCAAGAGGGGGAGCCCGACCCAAGAAGGCCCCAGGAGGCTCCCAAGAGGCCCCAAGAGGCCCCCAAGAGGGCCCCAAGAAGCTTCCAAGAGGGCCCCTAGAGGCCCCCAAGAGGCCCAAAAGAAGCCCCAGAGGGTCCAACACGGCGTCCCCCAAGAGGCTTCGAACCTGCCTCCAAGAAGCCCGCGAGAGGAGGAGGAGGAAGAGGACGTTTCTTCCCCTCATCATCCGCATTCTCCTAATCCCTCCTTTTCCTGTTCCTTCCTCCTCCTCGTCCCCCTCCTCCTCGTCCTGCTCCTGTTTCAACCTGTTCCATCATTCTCCCCTTCATCATCCTCATCCTCGTCATCACCGTCCTCCTGATCCTCCTCCTCCTCCTGCTCTTCCCTCCTCCTCCTCCTCCTCTTCTCCTTCCTCCTCCCTCCCCTTCCTGATCTTCCTCTCACCCTCCTCTTGCCTCATCCTCCCTCATCCTCATCCTCCGTCCTCCCCCTCTTCCTCCTCCTCCCTCCTCCCTCCTCCTCCTGCTCCTGGTAGACTGGCATCAAGGTTTAAGGGGGGCTGAGCTGTCAGCGTGATCTTCGCTGTGCGGGGGTCCACGTTGATCTTTGTTGGGGTGGGGGAGCACGATTTGTCCCTCCCACGGGGGCGCAACAAGCTAGCACCAGAGCGCGCGCCTGGGAAGGGGTCCCTGCTCGGCTCATCGGCCACGCTGCCGGGACAGACGCGTGCCTCGAAAATTGAGCCCCGACGGTGGGGGATTGGACACAGTGGGTTAGCACAAGCCTGGAGCCCTCTGGGGGCTTGTGCGGTGTTCCGTGGACTGTCGTGGGAGGCCTCTCGCGGGCCTCCTGGAGGCAGGTTCGAAGCCTCTTGGGGGACGCCGTGTTGGACCCTCTGGGGCTTCTTTCTGCTCCGCCCATCCTCATCCTCCTTCCTCATCCCCCCTCCTCCTCACTCCTCCTCCTCCTCTCGCATCCTCTCCTCCTCCTCCTCCTCCTCCTCCTCCTCCTCCTCCTCCTCCTCCTCCTCTCCCTTCGCCTCCTCAACCTCCTCCTCCTCCTCCTCCTCCTCCTCACCCTTCGCCTCCTCAACCTCCTCCTCCTCCTCCTCCTCCTCCTCCTCCTCCTTCTCATCCTCCTCATACTACTCCTCCATCCTCTCTCTTCCTCCTCCTCCTCGTCCTCCGCCGCCTCCCCCTCCTGCTTCTGCTCCGCCGCTTCCTCTTCCTCCTCACCATCATACCCCTCCTCCCCCCGCCCCCTTCCTCAGTCCCCTGCCCTGCCCCCCTGCCCTCGTTTGCTCATCGCTCTCCTCCCTTATCATGGTCGTCCTGTGTCCCACCTGTCTCCTCGCTCGTCCCTCTTATTTCGTCTTCCATCTTGGGCTGTTCCCTGCCGCAGCCATTGGCTGCAACACGTGTTGATCCAGGCGCCCGATTGGCGTCAGGCATGCGCCCGCTCCGGAACACCGCCATTTGGGCGATCGTGGCCCTCCTCAAAGGGTACGTGAAGATACGCGCACTCGTGCGCACTTCACGGCACGAGGCGTGGGACGAGGAATTCCTCGCAGAGCGTCTCACCACGAGCGTGGCCGAGAGGGAGTCGGAGTTGCTCGCCCGAGTGGCGGGCAGCTTGTACAAGACCGATGGCTGCATCGAGGTGCCGGGGCGGCCAGGATCGACTGGTGACCTATCGTTGTACGGACAGCGCGTTCAAACCTCCACTGTGTTTCAAACTCCCTTGCCAGCCTTGTCCATTATATACATAGTCATACATACATATGTATATATATACACACATCGATACAAGCATATTGATTTTAAAGATATGCATCTCTGGATACATACATACACACATATATATATATATATAATATATATATATATTATATATAATATATGTATATATATATATATATATATATATATGCTGGCGGAAGGGGATCGGGGCCGCCAGGCCGGTACCTGCGCCCCCCGTGGCCGCTCCAGGGCTCCGGGAGCGCTCCTGTCCGGGCCAATAGGCGGCCAAGACGTGCCCAGGGAGGCGCAAGTGGCTCCCAAACCGGTTCTAGACGGCCCCGGGGCGCTCAAAGATCGCCCCTGGACGCTCAAGATGGCTCCCATTGAGCCCAAGAAGCCGCTACAACGCCCCAAGTTGCTTTCCAAGAGAGCCCCAAGCGGCCAAAATCATTGATTTTGCATATGAAAACGTGCATTTTAGCATCTACGTCTTTTCGGTCTTCACGGCGTGCGCAAGCACAAGAGGCCCCCACGACGGCCCCGACTCCAAGACGGCCCAAGAGACTCCCAACACGGCCCAAGAGGGGCCCAAGACAGCCCCAGAGGCGGCCAAGGCGTGCTCAAGAGGCGGCCAAGACGTGTCCACGGAGCCCCAAGAGGCTCCCAAATCGGTCCAAGACGGCCCCAGGGCTCTCAAAGATCGCCCCTGGACAGCCAAGATGGCCCCTATAGAGCCCAAGAGGCCGCTACGACGCCCCAAGAAGCTTTCCAAGGGAGCCCCGAGCGGCCAACATCATTCATTTTGCATATGAAACGTGAATTTTTAGCATCTGCGATTTTTCGGTCTTCGCGGCGTGCACGACGGCACAAGAGGCCCCAAAGACGGCCCCAAGAGGCTACCAGCACGGCCCAAGACAGCCCGAGGGGCGGCCGAGGCGTGGCCAGACGGCCCCATGAGGCTCCCAAAACGTTCCACGGCGGCCCCGGAGCGCTCAAAGCTAGCCCTTGGACGCCCAAGACGGTTCCCACAGCGCCCAAGAGACCGCGAAAACGCACCAAGAGGCCCCCAAGAGGCTTTCCAAGAGGGTCCCAAGAGGCCAAAATCATTGATTTTGCATAGGAACACATATATTCGTAGCATATACGACTTGTCGGTCTTCACAGCGGTGACGACGGTACAAGGGCCCCCAAGAGAGTCCCAAAATTGCCCAAGAGGCTCCAAAGACGTCCCGAGAGGGGGCCAAGACACCCCGAGAGGTCACCAATACGACCAAGGAGAGCTCCAAAACGGTTCCAAGAGGAACCCAAGAGGGGGAGCCCGACCCGAAAATCCGACCCTTCCGCCCCAAGAAGGTCCCAGGAGGCCCCTGGAGGCCCCTAAGAGGCTCCAAGAGGCCCCCAAGATACCCCCCCAATAGGCCAAACCCAGCGGGGGTTTATGGAGGGGGGGATCCCCCCAAGAGGCCCCTAAGAGACTCCAAGAACCCCCCCGCGGCCCGCCCCCCGCGCAGGGACGGCGACGACCTCGACGGCGACGGCGACGGGCGGCGCCGCCGTCGTCGTCGTCGCCCTTGCCGTCGTCAGCGCCGCCGCCGTCGTCGTCATCATCGTCGCCGCCGTCGTCGTTGTCGCCTCCGCCGTCGTCGTGCTCGTCGTCGCAGGCGCCAGTCGAGGACCGATCAATCGAGGATCGAGGTTCGACGAGGTCTTTCGGTTTTCGGCCCCAGGGGGTCTTTTTGAGCGGACTTTAGTCAATCAGAGAGCAGCGCGAACGTCAAGGACGCTAAGCAGCGCGAGCGCTAAAGACGAGCTCTGTAGTGTTTGTTCGCGTCTTCCGTCGACATTTTTTCGGACGCGTTTCGACGAAGTTTGACTCGATTTGTTCTTGACTTCGGCTAGAACCAAAGCGCGCGCGAAGCGCGCGCGATGTTTTTTTGTTTTTTGTTGTTTTCTCTCTCTCTCTCTCTCTATGTGTGTGTGTGTGTGCGTGTGTGTGTGTGTGATGTTCTCGCTCGTTTGGCTTCCCAGCGCTCCAGGGCGGCCCGAGACGCCTCCAAGAAAGCCCCCAGACTGCCCAACAGGCCCCCGAGAAAGCCCCAAGAGGCCCCGAGGGCCCCCAGACGGCCCAGGACGTCTCCAAGACAGCCCCAGAGGGGGCCCAGCCGAGGGGCCCGAACTGACATTGCGAGCCCTGGGCCCCGAGAGGCGCCCAGGAAGCCCGAAGGAGCCCCGAGAGGCCCCCAAGAGGCTTCCAAGAGGCCTTCGCGACGCCGCCAAGAGGCCCCCAAGAGATGACACGATTCAGACCCACGACTAGCCCCGCGTGAGCCTCACAATGCCCCCGAGAGACCGCCCTCCCCCCAAATGATCCTTGGGGGGTCACTCTCGGGGTCCACACCTGTGCCCCCAAAAGGCCGGCGGCGCGCTGACAGAGGGGGGTTCGGCGGCACACGTGATCTGGCCTGGGGCCCTGGTCTATAGCTACCCCCCTAGAGTACATGTATCCCTCACCCGGACTGCAGGTAGGCGATTCGGAGGCATGAGCCGCCTGGATATTTAATGGCGAGCCGCCGCGTTTCCAATGATTGGAGCGCAAAGAAGTGCGAGCGCGCCCGGCAGGCCTGGCCTTACGGTGCACGGAGGGAGGGGGAGAGGTACAACGAAGATGACCAGGCTCGAGGGGACGATTATTCTTGCTTTAGTTTTAGCGGATACAAGAACTTCTTCCGCGCTGGTCGGCCGAATCCCGTTGGCTCCGCAGTCGGCAGATCTGCGCGCAAACAATTCGCAACATCGTTCCTCTTCTAAGATTTACTTGTGATGGCGTGCGGGCGCACACGGAAATGCTCTTCACTGCCTGGCGTCCCCACTCGTTCGCTGACAAGGAGAGTTGGAGTATCTGTAAAAACGTCGTCGTCGACGACGTCGTCGTCGTCGTTCAGGGTCGGCGGCACTGGCCGTAAGGCCTCTCCAATAGATTCAGATGGGCCAGTGGGCTTCCAGGGGGGGTCAAGATGAGATGGTACCGAAGATGCCTGCGGCGAATCACCGCCGCCCCCTGCCTTGTGGGAAGCGCCTCTGTGGCCAAACATTGGGCCCAGCTTAGCCAGGCTATCGGATTAGATGCTCCCCCAGCAGCTCTAGAAACTCATCGGGGAACGCTTGCGGGGAGGAAAAGGTGGAGGATTAAGAGAGGGAGAAGGAGGAGGAAGAGGAGGAGGAGGAGGAGGCCTCTTGGGAGCCTCTTGGGGTACTCTTGGGGCCTCCTTGGAGCTTCCTGGGGGCCTCTTGGAGGCCTCTTGGGGGTCTCCTTGGCCTCTTGGGGACCTTAGGGAGATTCTCGGGGGTGTCTTTGGCCGCCTTGGGGCGTTCTTGGCCCGTCTGACGCCGTCGGAAGCCGTTTGGGGGGCCTCACTGAACCGATTTGGGGCCCTCTGGGGGCGATTCAGGCCCGTCTTAGGGGGCCATCTTGGGCGTCTTGGAGCCGTTTTGCGGCCGTCTTGGAGCCGTCTTGGGGGCCTCTTGGGCCGTCATGCAGCCATCTTGGAGGCCTCTTGGGCGATCTTGGGGCGACCTTGAGGGACTCCTGGGCCGTCTTGGGTCGTCGGAGTGCCGATATGAAGCAAATGCCCAAATCCTTAAAGACCGTCGGGCTATCCATGATTTGGACCTCTTCGGGTCTTTCTGGAGGACCTCTTGTAGGCCCCGTGGGCCGTCTTGGAGGCCTCTTGGGGACCTGTTGGGCCGTGTTGGGCAATTGTGAGGCTAGCTTGGGTTGTCCTAAATGCATCTTCGCCCGTCTTGGAGACATCTTGAGCCCTCTGGGTGGCATGTAAGCCATCTTGGAGCTCATCTTGGCCGTCTTAGAGGCCTCTTGGGACCATCTTGGAGGCCATTTTGGGCCATCTGGGCCGTCTTGGAGCCGATGTGGCCAACGGAGAGCGAAATTTGGGAGCTCTTCGGGTGGCTGGCGGGTTGGGCCGAAGCCCCAGTAGGAGTTCCACAAGAAGCGAAAGACACTAGATGTTTAGCACGCCAGGCGCCCCTGTTGCAAGCCACAATAAAGAGAGGGGCCAACCAAAGAGAACCGTATAATTTATATATCTAATGGCCTTCGTCCCATTTCGCCACCGTGCCTGGGTTGTGGGTCAGAGTCCTCATGGACGCTTCTTGGGGTCTTTTCTGAGGGCTCTCGGGGGGGGGTAGTTTTGACCCCGAGAACCCCAAATCATTCAAGAATGAATGGGAAGCCGCATTTCTGTTTGAAAAAGAACTCGCCTGTTCATTGCCGATGGGCCTCGGAGGCCTGTGGATGGCCCCCCAAACACCTGGAACGGTCCCACGAGCAGCCCCTGACGCGTCCCAAGATGCTTCCCAAAAGGCCCCGATATCCCAAGGGCTCCCTCGAGGGCGCGAAGTTATTCGCGCTTCGCGCTTCGCGGTCCTCGTTCCTCCTCCCCCTCCTCCTCGTCCTCCTCTTCTCCCTTTGGGAGGGCGGCGCGAGAGCGCGAAGTTATTCGCGCTTCGCGCAGCGCGAAGCGCGAAGTTGGGAGCCCTAGATATCCCCAAATCCTTCAAAAACCATTGGAAAACCGTACATGTTTGAAGAACTCGCCTTGTCACTGCCGATGGACTTCGGAGACCTCTGGATGGGTCCCACCACGACCGGAACTGCCCCACGAGGAGCCCCAGCCAGTTCCAGGACGGCTTCAAGAGCGCTAAAGAGCTTCCCAAGACAGATCCACAACGGACCCGAATGGCCACAAGACAGCTCCGGGGGCCGCCAAGACGGTTCGAGACTGTCCCAAGGGGCCCAGAAGAGATTCCACGAGGTCCCGAAGAGATTCCAAGAGGTCCAGAACACACTTTTAGAGGCTCCCCCGAGGCCCCCCTGAAGAAAGAACCATCAAAACCCAACGAAAACCTTGCATATTCGAGGAAGTGACTTTTTCCATGCCGACAGGCTCTGGAGGCTTCTCGATGGTCTCCAAAACGCCCAGAACGGCCCCAAGAGGTGCCCCAGAGGTCTCCAGGACGGCTCCAAGAACGTCAAAGAGCCTCCAGGACGGCTGCAAGAATGCTCACTTGCCTCTCAAGACCACCCCAAGACGGCCCCGGATGGACTCCCGACGGCCCTCGAGGCTGCCCAGATGGTCCAATATCCCCAAGACGGACCCAAGACACCCCAAGACGCTTCCACAACGGCCCACAGAGGCTCCCAGAGGCCTCCAGGTACAGGATGAAGACGCTCCCAAGAGGGCCCCGAGTTGCCAAATTGATCAAAATCTGTCCACAAGCAGTACGTTCGTAGCACGTCGCCTTTTCACTGCCGATGGGCCTCCGAGGCTGCTGGAAGGCGTCAAAACGCCCTACAGAGCCACCTCAGAAACCCCTAGGACAGCTCCAAGAGCGCTTGGAGGTTTCCCGAGAGCGGCCCGAGACCGCCCAAGCTGGTCTGAAGATTGGGTTCGAGCCGTGAAGATTGCCCCAGAGGGCTTCAAGACGGCTCAAGAGGTGCCCAATAGGGCCCCACGGGAGCCTCAACAGTAGAGGGTCCCAGGAGAGACAGAGAGAGAGAGAGAGAGAAAACTCGAATTGAGATTTCGAGCCATCCGCCCCAAGTAGACCCCCGAGATCGCCTTCAGGCTCCACGAGGGCCAAAAGAGGCCCCCAAACGACCCCCAATATGTTTCAAAATTGCCTCCAGCAGGCTCTCCAGAGGCTTCCCAAGAAGCCCCAACAGGCATCCAAGAGACCTCTGCATCACAACCCAAACGCGGTGGCAGGATAGGCTGGATGTCAACAGGCCAGTATCGAGCTCTATATGGATTCTCGAGTTTGGTGCCACGCGTTTCGGTGGTTCGACGCCCAAATGCCCTTCCTCGGCGCCCAAGTCCGTGTAGAGTGTTTCAAAAAGGTTTTCGAGGAATTCAGAAGTCGTCTTCTTGCTCACCGCGGAGGCCGGCCGAAGGCCCGCGGAAGCTGGCGGATGTAAATCGAGGGCGATCTGGCTGGCGGAAGCCAGCGGAACCTCGTCTGAAGCCCGCGGAAGGAAATTGATTTTGTGAGAGGTCTACGTTGGCCACCGTGCCGTCTTCAGGCATGCAGAGCCAGCTGCATAAATGTCGCACGGTGTGCACAAAACGATCCATCGCCCCCTGGAGATCTCCACACCTTCCTCGGAGCAAGCTTTCTGGGGCTCGAATTGAACCCCCACACACCCCAGGACAGCCCCGACTCAGCCACGATAGGGCCCCAAGAGCAGTTCCGGCCGACGCCGCGCAACTCCCGAACAACGAGCGTTTAGAGAAGCCCCAGAGTGGCACAAGATGGATCAACGATCGCACGAGCCGATATCCAAATGGCCGCTCCAAATGTTTGATGTGCAGAGCGTTGCATTGCATGTCATTTGTGCTTCATTTATCCTTGCAGTAGTTTGCGTTGAGTTGCAATACGTTGCATAGCCACTGCATGACATTTCCACGATCATGTCATATGGATTCGCATTGCATGCGTCTGTGTGTATACTTGTCAGAATTCCGTCTCTGTTCGGTCCGCGCGATTGCTACCTCTTCACTTCATGCGCGAGCAAGTTGTGTTTACGTGCACGCGTGCATCTGTGAGCTTGTCAAGGTCTGGGGGGTGCTAGGACCTAAGCGCGCGCGAAGCGCGCGCGTGGTTCTAGTTTAAATATCAGGCGGAAGCCCGTTCAGAATTTTATGAGGCGGGCGTTTGGACCGCGTGCCCGCTAATGCGGACGGGGTCGGGCGCAGCAGCCGTCATTTGTCTTTCGGATTTTGATGGGGCCTCGGGGCGGTGGCAGGGGGCGTTTCAATGTCTTTGTGCAACTGGGTCGGGCAGCCCATTCATAGCACAAGGAGTGCACCCTGTTCAACTCGTTCCTGAGGTGCGTTTGCGGAGAGGCTTCGCTCGTATTGGGTATTCACCATGAGTGTGGTCGCTTCCTGAGGAGGCGGAGGAGGAGGAGGAGGAGGAGGAGGAGGAGGAGGAGGAGGAGGAGGAGGAGGAGGAGGAGGAGGAGGAGGGGGGAGGAGGGGAGGAGGAGGAGGAGGAGGAGGAGGAGGAGGAGGGGGAGGAGGAGGAGGCAATATGTTTTGCACACCCTGGTCGCTTCCGGAAGCGCGGCCTCTGGCTTGCCGGGGCGGTCGGCCGGGGACCTCCGTGAGCACCGACTGCCATTGGCCCCCGCTGCTCTACCGATCCAGGGCGGCCGCTCCAGAGGGAGGGGAAGGGGAAGTCACATCTGACGTCCTGCCCCTCCCTCCCATCCCTTACCAAGGGCTCCCACGAGGGTGCGAAGTTATTCGCGCTTCGCGGTCCTCGTTCCTTCTCCTCCTCCTCCTCCTTGTCCTCCTTTTCTCCCTTTGGGGGGGTGGCGCGAGAGCGCGAAGTTATTCGCACTTCGCGCTTCGCGCAGCGCGAAGCGCGAAGTTGGGAGCCCTTGCTTACCATGGCGTAGATCTCCTATCGGTCTGAGCAGTCTGGGATGGACTGGCGCTGCAGCGGGAGCACGATTGAAGGA